CCCCTTACCGCGCCTTTCCTGGGCCCAGGAGCTGTGCATACGCCCTCCTGGCTTGGCCAGGAGGGCATGGCGTATGCCGCTGCTGGGCCCAGGATGGATGGGCCCGGCCAGGGAGCAGCGCACATGTATACAAATGTACATATATATATATATGTATATACATATATCTGTATGCGTGTATATATATATATATATATCTAAATCTACTCCGTCGCCCTATGGGGGTGATCGTGCCTGCGCAGATCTTGCCATGCTCCCTGCGCTGGGCAGTGGCGGAGGACTCTCCCCCCCGCCAGCAGCTCCGTGGGCCCCGATATCCTTCCCTGCCCGGGGAACTTCGGGCGGAGCGCCCCGGGGGGGCCCGTGGCAGGACGTGGGCGCGCGCCGGGCCCGCTGCCCCTCCGACGGCCCCCGTCGGAGGGGCGCCGCCAGGGGGGGCGCAGGCGCGCGTGCAGCCAAAAGACGCCGGAGCGATGACCACCTCTTGGGCTCGGGCAGAGGCTCTGGCTCGGGCTCGGGCTCGGGCTCGGGCTCGGGCTCGGGCTTGGGCTTGGGCGATGACCACCCCTTGGGCCCGGGCTTGGGCTTGGGCTCGCTGCCCCTCCGACGGCCCCCGTGGGAGGGGCGCCGCCGGGGGGGCGCAGGCGCGCGTGCAGCCAAGGCGCCGGAGCGATGATTGCTCCAGATTTCGTAATAAAGGGGAGGGAGGTCTCATTTCGGGGGGGGGGTCTCTTCCAGGCTAGCTTGGAGGGCCTGGGGTGGTCTGGGGACGATGTTTTGGAGGGTTCTCCCACGAGGGGGGGGTCTGAAATGGCTTGTCTTGGAGGGTCCAGGCCCCCTCCCTTTTATTACGAAATCAGGAGTACCAGCCTGGAACATACAGCTGGGGCCCTGAAGAAGGAACCCTTTTGGTTGGGGAGGGGCTCCGCGTTCCTGAAGTGTTTCGCAGCCTGCCTCAGGTTTTCCTTATGTTTTTTCGATAGGAAGTCGAAGTTTATCTTATGGAAAAAAGGGGCCTCGTTCCTCATTTCGGGTTCCTCAGGTCAACGCCCCGACTGTATCCCTATCCCTGTGCTGGGCATCTCCTCATCACGGTGCCCATCTCAGGGATCCGCTGATTCTTCTCTGAGGGCGGGTCCCCAAGATTGCCATCGCCCTTTGGCGTGTGCCGACCTCAGGGATGGGGAGAAGTTCGAGGCTGGTAAGATGACCACCTCTTGGGCTCGGGCGGAGGCCCTCTGGCTTCCCGGGCCGCCCCTCGGGTCCGCGGCGGGAGGAGCCGCTCCGTGGCCGAGGCTCGCCGCGGCCCGCGAGGCCCCGCCGCTTCCTGCGCGGCGCCCCTTCTGCGTGCGCGATGGATGCGGAGGTGGGCGGGCCTCCTGCCCTGACTAAAACGACGCGAAGATCGGGACAGAATCGGATCGGGATAATTCGAAATCTCTGAGAATCGGCGGGTTTGGAGGATGTATTGGGCGCCGCGGCCGCTCCAGAGCGTTCCGGGACGCTCTGAGAGCGCTCCGGAACGCTCTGGAGCGATTTATCCCGACCCTAGCCCTGTTTTGCTGTTTTTTCTGATCCGCGGGTCGAGAGCGCACCTCGTCCGGTCGAAGAAGCTAAGCGGGCCGCGCACAGCTTTGATTCACAGAGGGGGGAAGGCAGAAGGAGGGGCCTGCCTCCTGCCCCGACGCGTCGATGCAGGAGCTGGCCGTTTGGGGCCCGCGAGGGGGCGCCGCGGCCGCGTCCTTGATTGCGGGCCCGGGTCCGTCGAGCTCGGCCCCGATCAGGTCGTCTTCCCCACGGGGAGAGGACCTTCCTAAAAGGGAGGCTTTCGTCCACCGCCGAGCGAGGCCCGCATCGGCCCGCGAGCCGCGGGGAGTCCGGGCCAGCGTCCGCCGCGCCGCCCGCGGGTGCGGGGGAAGGGAGGGCGCCGCCGCGTGCCGCGGCGTGCGGCCGCTCGGCTTCCGCGCGCGCGCGAGCGGCGGAGCCCACTCTGGCCGGACGGCGAGCGATCGCCGGCCCGCCTCCGAGGGAGCGCGCACGCGGGCCGAGGCGCGCGGATCTGCAGGGGGTCCGATCTCCCGCACAGGTCGGGCCGCCCCGGGCGGGCGCGCCCGCGCGTGGACACCTCGGCGCGCCCCCTCGCCAGAGCAGGCGGCACCAGCCTCACGCCTCAAGGGGTGCCTTCCCCGATCGCTTCGGGCCGGACGAAAGGGGGGGATTGGGAAAGGGGGGTTACGAAATCCGCTGCATGCAGCTGGTTTCGGCCCCACCGAGGGGCCCGTTCCTCGACACATGGCCGCCTCCAGCGCCGGGAGGCGCCGGGAAAATCAGCGACGTGAGCTGATTCGCAACCCCCCCTTTGCTATCCCCCCTTTCGCCCGGCCCGATCCGTGGATCTGGTACCCCGGCGCCAGATCCACGGATCCGTAATCCATCTTAGCGTGTGCCCGAGTCCAGCAGCTTTGGCTCGTCGGGGCGTCGGTGCCGCCTGTTCGGGTCAGAGTGGCGGCGCTGACGCTCTCGATTGGCCTTCCGCGGGCCACGTTTTTGTTACGGTCCAGGAGCCCAGGGCCCTCGCGGGCAGCGCCCGCGTCGTTGACGTCGCTCGAGGCCGCCTGCGGCGAACTGCCGCCGCCGCCGCCTCCACTTTGACTTGGTGCGATGGTGGAGTCGCCCGCTCGAGGGAGGTCAGTCAGGCAGGCAGGAAGCGCACCCTTCGGACTGCTGCCGTCGCGGCGGGCGGCAGCACGGCTCGCGCGCCGTGGTCCCTCGCCGCGAGTGGGCCCGCAGGGCGTCTCGCAACTGCTCCTTTGGTGCAGGGAAGATCGACCAAGAAGCAAACGACGCCACCCCACCTGCGGCCTTCCATGTTGCGCTACGGCCCGTCGGTGGCCGCAGCGTATACCAAGCCAAGGCCCACGCCAGAGGTCCTGGTATACGCCAAGCCCTGTGGGGCCGGAGGTGGGGTGGTGTCGTTTGTGTTCTGGTCCAGGAGATGCTGCACCTGATCTCGCAGAGGCCCGCGACGATACGACACGTGCTCGTTCAGTGCACCTCAGCGTCAACGAGACTCCCAGCGATCAGTAGCCGAGACGTCCGTGCTGGATGGCGACGGGACCAGTCAAGCCCAGCCCTCGGCTTCCCGCAAGATTGGGCAGCCCAGAACATGAGGTCGACCAGGTCGCCTGCAGGGGGCGCAAATGCACTCGCGGATTCGCACGCTGCGGTCCGTGCTGGTGGGCTGCTTTTTCTCGAGGGGGGGGGCGCCTCGAGGGCGCGAAGAGGACCGCGCGCCGCGCATATCGTGGGGTGCGATGGGCGACGCTGGGTGCCCCAGAAAGGAGTGTTGCAGCACTCTATGGCGCGTGCACCGCCGTTCTTGTGGAGGACGAGCGCTGGAGAGGAGGCATGTTTTTCCGAATCGCTTCCACATGTCGAGCACACGCTGACCATATCTGTTTCTAGAGTGTCGACACACGTGTTAGCTAAGTCTCGAACATGTTTGAAGCATGCCGAACACATTTGAAATCCATGTTAGCTCAATCGTGTTAGCAACGTCTCGAACATGTTTGAAGCATGCCGAACACATTTGAAATCCATGTCAGCTCAATCGTAGAACGGTTAGAGGGCCCACTGTTATGTCATCCACACCGCCATCCTCGAGGCAAGCCCAACACGCGCGCACGCCCGCCGCTGCGCGGCGCGGCGGCGGATCATTTCAACCAAAAAGGCGGGCGGCCCCGATGGTGGCGGCGGGCCCCGCGCCCGGACCTCGGACGGCTCCCGCGGGCGACGAACGCGTTCCGTGCCCGTGCCCCCTGCGGTCTGGAGCCCGAGGCGCGGCCCTGCGGATACGCGATCGCATACTCGAGTAAGGGATCGACTACAGAATGGAGTTGCCTCAGAATTGCATTTTTCTTGTCCAATCCACGGGCAATCCGTAGACCTTCCGCGGATCTACGCATGCTTGACGTATTTTTGCTGAAGAGTCGGCGTGAGAATCAATCTTGGGGTACATCAGTTTTGTAGTCGATGCCCCAGGCGACCTACGCACGCGTGCCGCGCGGGGCACCCGCGGAGCGCCGGGCCGCCCCCCCCGTCTCGGTGCGGTCGCGCGGCCGAGGCGCGCCCGGGAGCGCGAGGCCCGGCCTCTCGGCCGGGCCGGCTCCCGCGCGGAGGGCCGCGCGGAGGGCCGCGCGGAGGGCCCTCGGGCAGCCGGCGTCCCGAGCTGTGCGAGCCGTGGGGTCGTCTGGGCCTCTCGACTCAGATCGACCGGCACGCCGCGCACGCCGACCGGCACGCCGACCACGGCACACACACACACATCGACCGGCACATCGACCGGCACGCCGCGCACGGGAAGGTCACCCTTGCCTGTCGGGTATTATAGCAAACCGGGTAAGGGGACCCGGTTAGTGGTAGGGCCCGGGGGCCCCTCAACTGGCCAGATTCACTGAACCAGGTTTGCCGTGACTGGTGTTTTTCGGGTGACGGCAGTTCCGGTTAGTGGAAATGGGGCGGCGGGGGGGCGCCCCCGGTACAAATCACTAAACCAGGTTCCACTAAACCCAGTCCTGCCAACGTCCGATAAGAGGCGATGATAGGGGCGAATAGCCCAGGGGAGAGCAGTACATGTATTCAGGTGCGCCGACGATCTATGTCTTCGAGAAGGCTCCCGGGCGTCTACGTGTAATGCCCGCCCCTGGGCTATGCGCCCCCCTCTCGTCGCCGCCGATCGCGGTCCTGGGTCCCCTCCCGGGGTCCGTCCTGGCCCGCGTTCGATCCGCGTCCAGCCGAGGAGGAGGAGGAGGAGGAGGAGGAGGAAGGAGGAGGAGGAAGGAGGCGGAGGAGGAAGGAGGAGGAGCGAACGAGTTCCGCGCCGATTCCCTCGAGGGGGTTGGCGACCGGGGAGCCAAGCTGGGTCGCCGGAGGTGCTGCCGAGGGGTCAGCCAGCCCGATCGGGGCCGCCCGGGTTGGCCACGCCTCGCGTGACACGCGTCTCACCCCCGGGGCTGCACGCGGCGCACGCGCCGGCTGGGCGCCCGTCGTGCCGTGCTGTGTCGGACCCCCCCTCTCTGCATCCTCCTAGTGCCCTCGTGCTCGCTTTTGGGGAAGGGGGGCCCCGAGGTCAGCGAGTCCTGGGCCCCGCGGGTTCTCGCCAGGACCAGCTGCCCACGCTGAGGTCGAGTCGTGTTTTGATGGTCCCAGGGCCCGAGAGGGCCCCTAAGAGCCCGAAAGCGACGGAACACCTCCAGGACTCGTTGCCTCCGGCACCCGCTTCCTTCGTGCGAGCCTAGAAGAGCAAGCGAGCAGCGGCGCAGGCGCAGTTTTTCGGAGGGCCGCACGGATTTCTTGGAAGTCGGCGCCGCACACCCTCTGGCGGCGCCCGCGGCCCCGTCCCAGGCACGCCTCGCATGTTAGCGGGAGGGGATCCCAGGGCCGCCCCAGGAACTCCGCACGGCTCCGAAAGCCTGTGCTTGTGTCTGCTCCAGCGCCCTCCTGACCTGCAGGAGCCTCTCTCGCAGAGGGGTCGCCGTGTCGTGTCTCGCTGCTGCTCTGGCCTGCTGTGCCAGCTGGTTCTTGCATCGCTCGGGTGTTGCCAGAGGCGTCCCCTGGCCCACGGTGCCCCCCAGGGTTTCCGCGGCCCCCAGGGCACGCCTCACGAGGCCCAGAGGGCCCCAGGGGCTCTAGAATGGCACAGAAGTCTTGGGGGGCACCTTCGGCCAGTGACACGCCTTGGGCAATCCCCGAGTCGCAACAGGTCGTAGGAGCTCAGTGGTCAGGCCCGCTCCCTCCGCCAGGCCCTTCGCCTTCCAGCTTCCCGTCCAAGCAGCCCGCACCGATGGCCGCCGAGTCCCGGCTGCGCCGAGGTGCGCCCTACAGTTGTGTCACTCTACAGCGCGTCGCGCCTCTCGGGGCGTCCGCAAGGTAGACCATGTTTCATGCGGCGAGCCGTCTCCGCCTGCCGAGCACTGCCCAGTCTCAGGAGGGGAAAAAACACACAGACACAATTAATCCTCGATTCCTGAGAAAATATGCGAAAATATGGGAAGTGGGGGGGGAGACAGAAACCCAGAAAATATAGGAAAATATGGGGGATATTTTTCTTTGTGTGTACTTATTTGTGTGTCCTGGGGCCCCTTCACAGTCCCGAGACCGAGGCCCAGAGGCCCCCCCGGAGACCCGAGGTCTCGAAGCATGTCAGCACGTTGGACAATCACGACGGGATCCCTATACAGCTAGACCGCACGGGAAGGACGAGCCACTTTCCAAGCTCACCCTGGCATCCCTCCCCCTTCGGCCCATCTTTAGTAGCCGCTTTCGCTGGCCGCGCCCCGCCCGCAGAGTGTCGACGTGGCCTCCCCAAGGCCCTTCGCCCCATCCCCCTGCGCCGCCTCTCGAGCCGGATGGACCCGTGAGGGTGAGACGGGCCCGGCTCTGGGCGACGACGCCCGACTCGAGCGAGCTGAGACGCCTCAGGACCGCAGGGCCGGCCCGCTCGTGGCTCCCCCCGTGCCGCCAGGGGCTCGGGGCGTCGAGGCAGTACCAGCTTGAAGCATTCAGGAGGAAAAGAAACACACAGACACAATTAATCCTCGATTCCCCAGAAAATATGGGAAAATATGGGGAGTGGGGGGAAGACAGAAACCCAGAACATATGAGAAAATATGGGGGATATTTTTATTTGTGTGTATTTATTTGTGTGTCCTGGGGCCCCTTCACTACACCCCTGCCCCCCTGTTTGGCAACACCTCACTTCGGTGCCGACCTTGAGGACGGCCCCAGCTTCTGAGGGCGCATCCCTGGCCCCAACGACTGTCATCGCCTTGGGCTTGCCGATCGCAGGGACGGGGAGCACCGCTCACCAAACCACCACAACTTCACCCGAAGGCCCCGATGTGCCCTCCATTTCCAGTGGGGGGTGGGGGAACATGGGAAAACACGCATATCAAGCCCGTACCCCACCCCCAGCCTGAAAGTAGGGGCTTCGTGCTGGGTTGGGGTGTGGTCTGGTAGGTAGCCAGGGGCTGCGATCAAGTCGGGCCTGTCCCCCTACAGGGGATTTTCGACGAAAAATAAAACATACCCCTAAACATAGTCCAAAAATAGTCCAAATATAGTCTGGGGATTATTTTTTAAAAAACTTATATATATATATATATATATGTTTCGTCGAAAATCCCCCTGTAGGGGGACAGGCCCGACCTAAGGCTGCGTCCGAGGCGCTGCCCGGCCGCGCCGCGCCCGCCCCGCTGGCGGCCGACGGGCCCGGGAGAGCGGGCCGGCGCGGGCGGCCGACGGCCCCCGCGCGCAGGCGAGGAGACGGCCGGCCCGGCCCCCGGGCGTTGTGGGGTGCACCCCGCGCGGCGACCACGGCGCGTGGGGGCGGGAAAGAGGGGGGCGACCAAAGCTCGAGGGGGGGGGGGGGGGTGGACCTCATGGCGTGGGCCATGATATCTCCCCAGATTTCATGGCGGGCCCCGGGGCCCCCTCGCGCAGTCGAGGACGGCCGGCCCGGCCCCCGGGCGGTGTGGGGGTGCACCCCGCGCGGCGACCACGGCGCGTGGGGCGGGAAGGAGGTTACCAGCCTCGAGCGTATCCCTATCCCCAAGATTGACACGCCAAGAGGCGATGGCAATCTCAGGGGTTCGCCCTCAAAAATAAGGGAATCCCTGAGATTGGCATCGTGATGAGGAGGTGCCCAGCATAGGGATAGGGATATGCTCCAGGCTGGTAAAGAGGGGGGCGACCAAAGCTCGGGGGCGGGAAAGAGGGGGTTGATGACTACAGTGCCGTTTTTCATACATGCTCCGCGTGCGGATCATGTATTAAAAATGCAGAGATGTAGTACTAAGAACAACGATGAGTTCTTGCATCAATTCATTCATAACTTAATCATGCATGAAAATCCAATATTACATAACGTGGGCCATGGTATTTCCCCAGATTTCATGGCGCCTCGTCTCATTTCATGGCGTCCCTGGCCCCCCCGCTGGGCCGCGCATATGCCGCCTGCCATGATTTGCACCCCCCCCCTCTTGGACACCCCCCTCTTGGCCGCTCCCGAACAGCGCGTGGGGTTTCGGGCGCGGGTCTAGGCCTCCCAGATGGGGTCGGAGCAGAGGGTGTCAGAGGTCGGGGGTCGATAGACCTCCTACCCTGACACGTCGATTAGCGAATTGGCCGTTTTCGGTTCGCGGGAAGTGTCGCGGCCGTCATTTCTGCGGGTCCAGGTCCGTCGGTTTCGGTCCTAAACCGTCTTCGCTAATGGGTGATTCATTAAAGGGAGGTTTGTCCACCGCCGAAGAGGATCGTGCCGCATCGCCGCTGCATCGGCGATGCGGCACGGTGCGGAGCCCGATTTGTTTCGCGTCGACGTCGCCGATGCACCGCCGACGTCGACGATGCATCGCCGATGCATCCCCGATGCATCGGCGATGTCTCGGCGATGCGGCGCGATCCCCCGACCCCATCTACTCCGACCCCGTCTAGGAGGCCTCTAGTGGGGGTTTTCGTCGGGAGAGGCTTGGTCCAGACAGAGGACGCCCAGACGGAGACCGATCACTCCGTATGGACTTACTTGGGATGGGCTCACGAGCATCCTCTATCAGACGAGGCCAAGTCCAGACAGAGTGAGACCGAGCACTCCGTGCGGACTTACTCGGGATGGGGCTGCGAGCACCCTCTATCAGGAGAGGTCGAGCCCATACGGAGTAAGCCCAGACGGGGACCGAGCACTCCGTGCGGACTTGCGCGGGATGGGCTCAGCCTCTCCTGTCTTCAGGGCTTTCGGACGTTGGTTCCTGAGGGTTCCCCTGCCTCGGGCTGCGTTCCAGCACCGGCGCCTCGCCGAGAGCCCTCTGGGGCCTGGTCCGAGGCCCGAAAACCATCACTTCACTAATTTTGGGCCCCAGGGCCCACTGAGGCCCCAGGGGCCCCAGATTAGTGAAGTGATGCTTTTTCCCACGTAAGGACCCCGAAATTCATCACTGTTGCCGCATTGCTGCTGTGATGCAACATCGGCCTCGTGCCTGGGGCTGCCCGGACCGTCCCGATCGGCCGCCAGAGACCCGAGCCATGGCCCAGAAGCCAAGCATTCGGAGGAGGGCCGGTGTGTTGAGCCTGTGGGGATTCGGGGTCATCGCGCGGTTTCGGGGCCTGATGCAGCACACAGTCGAGGTCGTCTAGCAGGCTGGCCCTGCCAAGTGAAGGGTACCCATCCTGGGCTGGATCTGGCCCACTGGCCAGAGAGGGCCCCTCGCTCGGGCTCACTTCGGGTGTTGCTAGAAGTGCCCCTGGCCCACGGTGCCCCCAGGATTTCCGCGGAGGCCCCCACGGCCTCCGGAGCACTCCTCGCGAGGCCCAGAGGGCCGCAGGGGCCCCGGAATGGACCGAACAGCTGGGGGCACCTTGGGCCAGGGGCTCGTTTATCAGGAGGGAAAAAACACAGACACAATCAATCATCGACCCCCAGGAAAATATAGGAAAATATGGCAAGTGGGGGGGAAGACAGAAACCAAGAAAATATTGGAAAATATGGGGGATCTTTTTATTTGTGTGTACTTATCTGTGTGTCCTGGGGCCCCGTCAGTTCAGCACCCCCCCGATCCCTGCAGCGCCCGAGCGTCCTCGGAGGCGCTCGTGCAGAGACCTCCCGGAAGTCGCCTCCCGAGTCCTGGGCGGGGCGGGCGATGGGCGAGGCCGGCTCCCCCTCGCCGTCCCCCGCGGCCGCCGCAGCTCGGTGCTCGCCCGCGGCCTCTCTCGCGGCCTCTCGCGCGGGCGCCCTCCGCCGGAGGCCGCCTCCCCGCAGGAAGGGCGCGCCCTTCGGAGGCCTCCTCCTCCTCCTCCTCGTTCTCCTCCTCCTCCTCCTCCTCCTCCTCCTCCTCCTCCTCCTCCTCCTCCTCCTCCCACAGCTCCTCCTCCTCCTCCTCCTCCTCCTCCTCCTCCTCCTCCTCCTCCTCCTACCCCGACGCGTCGATGAAGGAATTGGCCGTTTTCGGTTCGCGAAGGGGGCGTCGCGGCCGTCCTTCTTGCGGGTCCAGGTCCGTCGGCCTCGGTCCCCGGCCGTTTTCACTGAGGGGAGGTTTACGAAAGGGAGGTTTGTCCACCGCCGAGTCCTGGGGAGCAGCGGAATTCGGCCAGGAAACATCGGCCACGCGCAGTGGTTGGGGGGGGGAGGGGAAGGGAGGGAGGCTTCTGAGAGAGCGCGGGCCTTGTCTGTAGATGTAAGGCCGGCGCGTCTGAGAAGCAGCCTCCTTTAAGATGCCCCCCCCTCCCCCTACCCCCTTCGTGCGCTCCGCCAGGAAAGACGGTGTCGGCCTGGCCCGAGTTCAGCCTGGCCGAGCTCCGCCTGGCCGAGCTTCGCCCGGCCGAGTCTTTCCCTCGCCCTTCGGGGGAGGGGCCCTATGACGGAGGGCGCGCGCCCAGTGGCACCAGGAGCACCGCACCGCGCCGGCCGCTTTGTCACCCAGGTCGGGGGAGAGAAGATCGTGCCGGTGCCGGTGCCGCTCCCCAAAAAGGTCCCCCCCCTGGGGCGCGAAGGTCATGGCGCTTTGCGCATCGCGGCCTGGGCTGGGGAGGCGCCCGTCTCCAAGGCGGCGCGAGGGCGCCAAGGCTAGCCGCGCGTCCCGCATCGGGGGGCGGGATGCGCGTAGTCAATCGGAGGTGGACAGACCTCCTACCCTGGCACGTCGATGAAGGAATTGGCCGTCGTCGGTTCGCGATGGGGGCGTCGCGGCCGTCACTCCTTGCGGGTCCAGGTCCGTCGGCCTCGGTCCCTAGGCCGTTTTCGCTACGGGGAGGTTTGCGAAAGGGAGGTTTGTCCACCGCCGAGGAGTCGAGTGTCAGGAGGGGAAAAACAGACACACTTAATCGTCGACTCCCAGGAAAATATGGGAACATATCGGCAGTTGGGGGGAAGACAAAAACCCAGAACATATGGGAAAATATGGTGAATCTTTTTATTTGTGTGTGTGTTTGTTTGCGTGTCCCAGGGCCCCTTCAGAGTGACCCCGCTCGTTTATCTTATTGCCTCTTCGGGCCTCCCCGGGGAGGGGGCCCTCGCCCCTCGTCGCCCTGGGCTGCCTTTCGCCTCGGAGTCCTGGTGCGGGCGCGCCCCGGGGGGCGGAGAGCCGGAGAAGAGCGGCGCCTTTCCGGCACCTCCTCTGCGCCCCCGCCCACGGCGTGCAGCAATGGACCCGCACGTGCAGCGCGTGCACTTCTTCTCGGCTGCGCGCGAGAGCGTCCCCTCGCGCCAGCGTGACCTTCTGCTCAGGAGCGAAAGAGGGACGTACATGTACATGAGTCCACGCTGGTTTCGAGAGCACGCATTGCACAAATGTTCGTATCACGCGGCCGGTCTCGCGAATCGAGGGGCCGTGTTCATGTACATAGCTGGGCGCGTACGTCCTTTGTGGGCTCCCTATCTGCGTGCGCGGCCTCTGCTCGGGCGAAGAGAGCTGTGCACATGCACCGATCTTGGCCTGGCCCATCCCTGGCCCGGCAGCGGTGCACGTGCTTCCTCCTGGCCAAGGCAGGAGGGCGTGTGCGCCGATCCTGGGCTCAGGACGGGCCTGGCCAGAATCGGTGTATGTTTAAGTCGGGCCTGTCCCTCTACAGCGGGAATATTCAAAAATAGTAAAAATAGTATGTGAACTATTTTTTGTGCATTTTTTGGCCATTTTGGAGCATCTTCTTGTGTATTTGTTTTTCCGTCGAAAATCCCCCTGTAGGGGGACAGGCCCGACCTCAGTGTATGTGCATAGTTCCTGTTCCTCCAAGAGTGACCCTTCGCCAGAGTGGCCTTGCGTGCGCGGCCTCTGGTCGGGCGCCGCGGGGCCGCGCCCCCGAACGCGGGCCGCGGACCCCGGGTACGGTAGGTTCGCGTCGTGTCGACCAGCGGCGACCCCGCCGCCGACGTTCAACGTTGAACGCCGGCGGCGGCCCAGAATCGGTCGATGTTGAACGATCGGACGTTGCGGAGACGGCCGATCGTTCAAGGTTGAACGATCCAGCGCGGTGTCAGGAACCAAGGCCGGAGTCGGCACGACGCGAACCTGCAGTAAGGGGACCCGGTTAGTGGTAGGGTCCGGGGGCCCTTCAGTTGGCCAGATTCACCAAACCAGGTTTGCCGTAGCTGGTGCTCTTCGGGTGACGGTAGTTCCGGTTAGCGGAACGGGGCGGGGGGAGCGCCCCCCGGTACACATCACTAACACAGGTTCCACTAAACCCAGTTCTGCCAACGCCCGAGCTTGGCTCAGGCGACGAGCAACCGCACAGGCCGAAACTTTCGGAGCTCTGCTCTGCGTGGGTTTCTTGGATCCGCGCTGGCTCATCCCTGGCGGCGCCTCCGGCGCCGCCCCTGGCGCGCTCAGCGCGCCAGGACGGGGGGGGGCCAGCGCCGATCCACGGAATCCGCGCGGACCTTTGAACGTCACGTCTGCACTTACGTCGGGCCTGTCCCTCTACAGGGGGAATATTCAAAACTAGTCAAAAAATAGTAGGGCGATTATTTTTTGAGTTTGTACGAGAAATAGTAGGGCGATTATTTTTTGAGTATGTACGAGCATTTTTGGAGTATGTTTGTTACTTTTTTGAATTTTTCGCCCAATATCCCCCTGGAGGGGGACAGGCACTACCGAAGGCTACACCCGGGGCCCCACTCCTGCGCGCAGCCGATCCTACTGGAGGCGCGCGCCGCGCGTGCTGCGAGTGCAGCTGCGGCGTTTCACCTTGTTGGCCGCGCGTGCGGCAGCGCACGCGGCCTCGTGTCGACTGCTGGAGAGCGGGGGGGGGGGCTGGCGCGCCTGGCACAGACCTGCGGCAGCCGCCGCGCGCCCCCCCTGGCAGCGGGCCCGCGCCCCTCGGCCCGCCGCTCGGGTGCTCGGGCGCCCTGTCCTCAGATGCCGGTCTCGGGGGCCTTCCCGAGGACCACCCGATCAGCGGAGCTGCTCGATTCCAATTCGGCCCTGGGTCGACTCCACTTCGACCGACGCTCGACGCTAATCTGACCGACGCCGACGGTTGTTCGACGCAGCATTGACGCGCCAGGGATTAGCGGGCGAAGAGCGGTACCACGGAGTCTTTTCCGCCGTCGGGGGCGCCTGCCCCCTGGGCGGCTGCACAGTTCACACCCCTACGTGGCACCGTGGGGGTATACACTTTGAGGCCGCCCGTGGGGGGCAGGCGCCCCCGACGGCGGAGCAGTCTGTTTGATGCCCCTCTTCGCCCTCTCGAAAGGGAGCTCCCCAGAGCGAGCATCTGTTTGGTCGCTGCTCAGCACGGGCCAGTGCCTCCCGAGGGCCCGTGCCCGCCGCGGACCCTGCTCGAGCCCCGCGCCTGCCCGCCGGGCGCCTCCGGGCGAGTATGGCCTCCGCCCGCACGGCCCGCCCTCCAGAGGAGGGGCCCGCGCCCCCCTCCGGGAGGGCGCGCGCCGGGAGGATCCCCGAGCCACTCCCAGACGTCGTGCGCCTCGAAGAAGCATCTCGGAGGTGGATAGACCTCCTACCCTGACACGTCGATTAGCGAGTTGTCCGTTTTCGGTTCTCGAGAGAGCACCGCGGCCGTTATTTTCCAGGCTTGCGCCCGCCAGGTTTGGGCCCGAGGTCGTTTTCACTAAACCACGTTTTGCTAAAGGGAGGTCTGTCCATCCCCGAGCCTCGGCACGGAAGCCTGTTTCCCCGCGTTCGGCCCCATCGGGCCTCTCTGCCAGGCGTCGTGGCCGTCAGAGAGGCGGCTCGGGGCCGGGCAGCCGACCCCTCGGGGGGAGCCGGCCGAGAGGTCGGGGGCCCGTGCCTCGCGCCACGATGCAGATGCCGGGCGTCTGGGCGTGCCCTCTGGGCGGCGCCGGCGGCGCATCCCTGCGCCGGCCCCGTGGCCCTGGCCAGGCCTGCCCGGGCCAAGGATCTGCGCCTCCGCTCGTGCCCCTCGCATGTGGCTGCTGGCCCCGCCAGCATGGGGCGGCGCGCGCCGATCCTGGGCCGGGGAGGGGCTCGGGGGTGGCCCGGCCGACCCCTGGCGAGCCGTCCCCTTGCGTCGCGTGTCCCCCCCCTCCCCTCCTCCTCGTCGTCCTCCTCCTCTTCCTCCTCCTCCTCCTCCTCCTCCTCCTCCTCCTCCTCCTCCTCCTCCTCCTCCTCCTCCTCCTCCTCCTCCTCCTCCTCCTCCTCCTCCTCCTCCTCCTCCTCCTCCTCCTCCTCCTCCTCCTCCTCCCCCCCGCCTCGCCCCGAGACGCACGTACGCGGCCGGAGGAAGCTTGAGAGGAGAGGGTGACGTCACGGACGGGGATGGTTTGCTAGGGGTCGGTTAGGCCGCGCCCGAGGGGCCCCCGCCGGGGCCGGTGCAGGTTCGCAGTCGGGGTCCTCCCCGCCTTCGCCCTCCCCCCTTCCCTCCTCGGCAGCAGCCAGCAGGCCCGTGATCTACCCGCCCATGGCCTCCGCAGCGGCCGCACGCGGGCTGCTGCCCTGCGAGAGTCAGTCTTCTCTGTCTGTGGCCCTCCGTAGGCAGACCCTCCGCTGCTGTCAGCCTCTCCCTTTCCCCCCCCCCCAGACCCTCCTCCAGAAGTCTTAGACCCTCCTGGACTCTAGAAGCCTTCTCCTCCCCCTCGATCCCCTCTCCTTCCCATCTTTCTCCTCCGCCTCCTCCTCCTCCTCTTTCTCTTTCTCCTCCTTCTCCTCCTCCTCTTAATCTTCTGGATCCTCCTGCTCCTCCTCCTCCTCCTCCTGCCAATCTGCTTGATCCTCCTGCTCCTCCTCCTCCTCCTCCTCCTCCTCTTCCTCCTCTTCTTATCCTCCTCCAGCCTCCTCCTTCTTCATCCCTTCTTCTAAACAAGTCCTTCCTGAGTCCTTCCTGTCGCCCCGCCAGACGTGTCCGTGGGGCCGACTGGGCGTCTCGCCTGAGGTTCCTTGACCACTGAAGACCCTGCAGCTGAATGGGCAGTTTGCAGCACCTTCAAGGATGGGGTACAGGGGTTTTCACAATATGGCTTTCGTTTGAGCACCGCGCACTGTAGTTTTCAAACGTTGCAGAAGTATCCAAGATGGAGCACATATCGTTTTCAAATGTTGCTCTCGCCTTAGCGCCCCGCGCATTCGCGTTAAACGTTTGCAGCAGTTTCAAGAAGGGCAGGGGATTGTGCATGGTTCCTTTTTAAAGTTGGACGTTCGTTTGAGGCTGGCTTTAGTTTGAAGGACAGGGTTTCGGGATATCAGCGGGGGCCTGAGTTTCAAGATTTCTCTCAAGGATGCTGCGCCTTGCTCCTCTCCTTCTTTTTCATTATTAGCATTAGTGCTGTCGGTTTCAGTTATCTTCCCTCCTCCTCCTTCTCCTCCCCCTTAAACAACGAATCCGGAGTAAGACATCCTTAGTCAGGAGTGCTTAGTCGGAAACCCTTAGTCAGGTTTCCTTACGGGGGGCTCCTTAACAAAGGAATGGCCGATCGTAAATCCGTATGTAACGCCGTTAGGAATGAATCCTTGTTCTTCAATCCCTAGTGAGGGGTATTACATGACGGATCCTTAGTAAGGGACCCTTCCAAAGGAACACATGCTTTGTATGCCTTAATCACGGATTTGTAATTCGAGCCCATCGTACATAATCCGTATTAAGGAAGTCTTCGTACGGGAGCCGTATTACTGAATCTTTAGTAAAGAGTTCACAGTAAGGAATCTTTTCGAAGATTTCTTTACCAGGGCACCCTTACTAAGGAATCCTTTCGTGCAGTGAATTTTGATTAATAGTGAATCATCATTCCCTTAATCGTGAATCATCGTTAGCCTTCGTTAGGAACCCTTTCCAAGACATCCTTCGTACGGAACCTCTTACGGGATCCTTAGCAAAGGGGCATCTCACATAACGGATCGGGAACCCTTACTAATGATTCCTTGGTCGTGCTCTTTCGTAAGGACTCCGTAGAGCCCTGGCCCGAGGTCCCAGGGCATGAGGGCCAGTTCCGCAGCCCTCATTTTTTGCCTCACATCGGTGCTGCGATGTGCGACCACCCGTATGAAGATTGCGCAATGGAACCCTCTCTCTTTGAGCGATTATGATAGGCGACTCGCAGTGGCACAACAGCTACGCTTCGCTGATGTGGTGTTGCTTGCAGGTACTACGGTGAAGAAGCAGCGCGATGCACCTACGCACCACGACGTCTCCCTCCACGAGCAGTTCATTATGATCAAGTTTGGATGGCAGGGCCCCCGAGGAGCGATGGTCAACAAATCGTGTGGAGTGGAGATCTGGCTGAATCGGAGACGATTTCGACGGTCACAACTGGTGCACTTCTGGGCAGCCCCCCACGGGTTGCAATGACGACTGGGTGCGGTACGAGTGAGATCAAGCCAACACGACTTCACCTTTGTGGTTAGCTATTTTCCCCCGAGGTGTACAGATGCCAAGGGCATTCCGAAGTATGAGGCGACGGTCAGGAAGCTGGTTGAACAGTTACAACTGATTACTGCGGGGACCCCTAATCGATCTACGATGATTGCGGCGACGGATCTAAATGATGGCTTGGGTATTCGGAGTGTCGACGGCATTCAGCAGGCAGTGGACAGTGAGTGTTTGGGACCTTACGGACGCAGCACAGAGCACCAGGCGGGCACCCACTACCGCGACTGGATGGAGCAACACAACCTGGCAGCGATCACGAGCTGGTATCCCTGTGGCCCGACATACTACGGCCACCGCAGTTGCAGCTATATAGATCACATGGTGATCTCCGCTCCTTGGATGGGCCGTGTGAAGCGCTGTGCTGTTGCGTACTCCCTCACACGACGGGTACGCGCGATCCCTAGTGTGGCTGTGCTGGATCACATGATTCTTGTTGCGGAGCTGGACTATGAGCTTACTTTCAGCGCGCCTGCCAACCACGGCGCACACTGGGACTACCTCTCATTGGGACGTGCGATGAATGACGAGGAGGAGGCACTCCAGTTCCGAGAGGAGGTGGAGGTGGCCCTTGCGCAACAATTGCACGACGACGGGTACCTGGAGGTGGGCGCCTGGATGCGCTCTCACACGCTCGGGACAGCCTGGGAGAAAGTGGTGGCGACGATACGCACAGCAGCCCAAGCACGGTACAGTACTACACGACAACACCGGCCGCAGTGGTACGTAGAGATGGCGAGAGAAAGGGAGGCGGCGCTGCGGGCTCGCACCAGAGCACGTGACGAGCTCGACGGCGACCTGGACAGCATCCGACGACTGCGACAGACGCCGTCCGACGAGGAGGCGAAAGCAACACGACATGCAGAAATTATCCAGTTGGCTGTCAAGGGTCTGCCTGGGAAGGCTGTCGAGCACGCGAGTAGCTTGGGTCTCGCGCCTGACACGGCGGCAACAGTGCGCATTATGCGTTCGAGGTTTGTCGAGCCCCCCGCTCGCCAGAGCACCAGCTAGAGGACGCCTGCCCTGGAGGCCAACGAGATCACAGACGAGAGCGTGGTAAAGGCCATCAGGTCGTTTTCGGCAGAAGTTGCTGCTGGCCGTCGGGGCAACGCCCAGACTTGTACAAACAGCTCATAGGAGAGACTGGGGACAGGGTGGCCGTCGCCCTCTTCAGGAGTTGTGGCAAATTGCTAGCGCCTGGCCAAACCCCGCCAGAGCTACGGGCATTCATCGGAAGCAAAGATGGGTCTGAGGAAGCCTGGCCCGCGTGCTCTGCAGAGGCTATGCGGCGAATGGTCAGCAAGATCATGCTAGGCACGGGAATTGAAACACTAAGTGTGCATCTCTTGCTTCACCAGTTCGCGGTGGGAGCCAAGGCTGGCGTCGAGGTAATGCCACATCTAGTGCGCCAGTGGCGGGGCGATAGCGCCAACGACCCAGACAAATTCATAATCAATCATGATGATGGCAACGAGCACAACGAAGTCGATCGACGCACGTTTCTCGCCCGCATGCGATCGCCCCAGGAATTCGCAAATGACTGGAGCACATTAGCCTATAGACGTGGCCACGTACGTTTTTTACCGGGGCTGGACGATCGAGTCGCGCGCGGGCGGGCAACGGGGGTGCCCTCTCATAGGGGCATGCTATGCTGTGGTCAAGCGCATGGTCCACGAGAGCTCGGGGTTGGTAGAGCTGCCACCGGGCGCCGTGTTGCATCTGCCTCGCATCGTGGAGCCGGTGTCCTCCGACGCAGCCCCGCTCTTTGCAGACGATGGTGTCATTGCTGGCTCGTCAGGTGAGGTGCTGCGAGCAGTGAGACACATGGAGAGAGTGATGCCGTTGGTGGGGCCAAGATTTTCGCAGTTGCAGGTGGCGGAAGCCGCGGGTGGGGCTCAGCCAGCAGAAGACTTGTTACGCTTTGCGGCTGAAGTTTGCGACCCGATCTTGAACGGCAGTTAGGAGATACCGAAGTACCCAATCGGAGACGAGGCATTTTCGCGCGAGTATAGCGCGGCGCTTGCCACGAAGC